TGGCCAGGACAGAAATACCCAATTAGGAAACGTCCTGATGGAGGGGAGTCCTTCCTTCAACTGCTTAACCCAGCCTTCTTAAGATAATTCATGGGTAAAATTTACCAGGGATAGAGTTGACAGCAGCAGCAGCGGTATGACACCATGATAATTGCAGCATTCGATCGCCCAAACCCGCTAAAAATACAAACAGTTACTCCTCGCTTCCTTTTTTCAGGGAAATATGCAACAGATTCGTCGTCGTTTAAAGATCAACAGCGTTTGAACTAACAGATTGCGTAAATTAATGATGGGTGTATCAGATTTATCTTGGACGCCGCCTACTGCCACTGCCGAAACCACGTTCTTTGTTATCCATAGGTCATTCTTTAGCAGTTATCGCCAAGGCTCACGCATGGCCCATTTCAAAAACTGACCCTTTAGTTTGATTCCTCTATGAGATAAATATTCCTTGTTGCCTCCAAATTCTGGAACGGTAATATTAGCATGATTGCTTTTTAATATTTAGTGTGGATACTAGTTTCGTGACTATTTCAAAGTTCTGCCAGCAAAACACATTTTTTTTCACAACTCACTTTGATTGATATTCTATTTATGTATTTGTGTTTTATATTTCCCTTGTGTTCCGTCCATTGAAACGATTAGCATTTCTTGAATTACATTAAAAGCAATGTCAGTAGATTGAAACGACGAAAACATAAGTGTAACAAACGAAAATCTATTTCGCACTTTATACCATGCATTTTCACCGTTTCAGTCCTGTATATTCGTAATGTGCTATCTTCAGCGACGTTATCGAAAGATTCCCAAGAACATCAAGGTAATATTTTGTTATTTCTTGAATTTACATAGCTTGTTTTAAATTTCGGCTTTTTCCTACTTGACAATTGCTGGAAACAGTCCTTTTATCCCATGCTAATTTTAAGAATGTCGGCAACGTTGCATAAACACTGACGTATGTGTCTCATCCTTCGGAAAACAATACGGAATTTGTCACCGTGATGCTTCATTAGTCCTCAAAGTTCAACCTTCCGCCAGAGTGGCGAAGAGTCGGAAGCATCCAGCGTACGAGAATGCTTAGAAGGGTGAAGTGCGGTGGAGGCATTTTTCCCAGCGGCTAGAGATGGCGTGAAGCCCTGTGAATCCTGAAACGGACAGCTAACGGGGCTCTAGTGAAGCTGTTTCAGGCCAGTCACTCACTCAGCGGACTCATCTCTGATTACGGAAACCGTGCAGAATTTATCATATTGAGTAAAGTTTATTGGTAAAGGACCCGCATAACGCTAGCTGGTTATGAACACAGACCTCAAAAGTCTTTAGGATAAAAATAGTACCATTCAGTGCTAAATGACAGAACAGCTTCGCACTGAAATGTGTGAACGCTAAAGAGATTTGAATAGGCTACACCAGTTGCAGAACTAAACTACATGGGAATACAGGGGGCTGCAATACAAGTGATGCACTGGCTTGGAAAAGCCTAGTGAACGCTAGAAATTATAGCGTATATTGTACCGGAAATACAGCAGAAGGTAATGCTTACAGAGCTGGTGTTGCACTGGCAGTTGGAGGGGCAGAAGGAGCCCTTGTACACTGGAGCTAGACATATGACTGAACCATTATGGAAGATTTAAGTCCAAGTACACAGGGAATTGATCTCACGGTAGCTAGTTAGATGCCCGTATCGAAGTGGCAAAAGCCCACAGTGAAAGAAGAATTTTATGCCACTCTTAACATGTTGATGCAATAGTTTCGCACTCATGATGTCTTAACTGTTCTGGATGATTTCGATGTGCAAGTGGGAACAATGAATAAGGCATATAGATGCCTGGGATAAAACGGTATTGGCGACATGAATGGTAACGGTGAACGACGAACAGAACTGGTGAAATGAATGATCGATTAATTGGCAGCACACGATTTCCTCACAAATTAAGGCATAAAATCAAGTGGAATCTCTCTGATGCGTCAGCGGAAGACCAGCTTAGTCATGTTCGTATCACCGGAAGTCATCGAGCATGCCTAGAGGATGTCAGGATGTGCAGATGTGCTGAATACAGCAGCGATTATGATCTGGTGAGTGCTAAAGATAAAGTCGGATTGCGTTCCTTGATTAGCAGCCATTATTCTACCACGATGCCTGAAGTCGACAGCCCAAATGTCTAGAAGTATCTCAAACTGTTCAGAGCACGATTTGCGAAAGATTCAATCTTCTTTCTGAATTTACAGGCAATATATCGGTAGAAACGCTTGGAACGTTTACTAACAAGCAGTAGTAACAGTGGCGGAAGAGCAATTCAGATGGAAGAAAGCATGAATGAAGTCATGGTTAGGCTTCGGATCAAACCGGTTGCATGGAAAGAGCAGTTCATCTAGGACTGACAACAGACAAAGTTTCAAAAGAGAAGCAACGAGTAAAATTAATGTATTATTTAGAAAATCCGGAATTAAACGAGAAAGAATTACTAAGAAAGGATACAGCACTAACTCCACCGTTGCCGGTCCCAAGCCTGGTTGAAAAAGAAGGAGGATTGGAAGCCGTGGCAAACTCTCCGTAAAATTTAGTCACCTGCCACTCATGGTACTGACGCCATCGAAAATTATACCGGCTCGGTTGTCGCCCGGGTAACCGAGGACTACGTAGGCTGTTGGGGCGACTGTGACAGACTGCGAAAAGTCGGCGATCAGAACCTGCTCATGCCTTCTGCCAGCCGAGGGGGGGGGTATAGCAGCACAGCAACGGCTGACAAAGACTGATGGAACGATGCCGAAGATACATACCAGTCAGCAACAGAGTCGCTCCCTGTTCTGAACGGAGGAGGCAGACAGCGCGATGCCATTACAGCATGGCAAAAAAGCTTCACGAGAACGACATCGCCAGTGGGAGCTTACAATCG